GAGAGTGATGTTTTCTCTTCATATCTTTTACTTCATCGAGCATGTCTCACAGGCATATAAGGGGAGAGGATGGAGTGTAGCAAAGAATACTCGTCCCATAACAGGCAATCATATATATTTTTTCGGTGCCAGGGATGATGTAAATAGACAAAATCAAAAATCCTTTTTGTATCTAACATAAGATTTTGTTCACTATCAGTCCGGTCGGACTGATGCCACTGCTTTATTAAGTGAAGTGATCAGCACATTTAACAAATTCACTTCCTAAAAGTAAATCAGTCCTGAAGTATCACATTACGATTGATAGGTGCTAAACGCACACCAAGTATACTCATACTTTTGCTTAAGGCGCTCAGAAGACCCCGTCAGCGCATATCAAGACAATGTGGCCTGGTTACTCAGAGTCATCCAGTTGCCCGCCAAGAACTAGATCAATCCTTTTGAAGTTTTAGGTAGCTAAGGTTATTTTCATAAAGGCATACATAGCAAAGTAAAACAGGACAGTGACAGTGCCAATCTGGTGGACGCCACTGATAGCCATCAATTTTGAGTTTTGTGGCGGGTTCATTTATTGAGTCCAAGTTAGTATTCACCGCTCACTGACATCATCTGGAGAACCATTAAAAGACTTGGAGCAATGGAAAACCGTTTCCCCATAGTATGGAAATGTTCAGGTGACAGTCCCCGATTAGCCTTCACATGGCTGGGTGAGTTCGAGTAGAGAGCTATAACTTGGCTTACGTACCTACTCGGTACCTCACTTAGTCAGATACTGTCACATAACATCATGGTTGACAGTCAAATACCGTACTCAGGTAAAAAACACGGTAAGTACCAGCCGCTGGTAAGTGCGTCTGTGTTCAACAAACTGACGATGGATGAAGACCCGATTAATACAACCTTGCTCAGAGCTGACACCTACATGGGTTTTCTCGAGATAAAGTTTGGCGTCGGATGACTACGCGTCCTGGAATCTGGGGGACAAGCTAGTTAAAGTGATCCCTGTATGACTCTCACAAGGCTTCTCTTCTTTCTCACAAACTGGGATGATACTGTGGATCAACTTAATTGCAATTAGAGTCCCCAGGGTAATCAAAGAGAACAGATTGAGATCCATGGGGACATACCTTAAATTGGTACGAGTAACGCATACACATATATTCCCTCTTCCACATCTGAAGCTTGAATATAATCACTAACCGTCAGTTGCCAACTACTTTCTCCTGCCATACTTTTCCCAGTCATGGTATCAATCAGTCTTTTCCAACACAATTGCTCTTTGTATGCTCTCGTTAAGCGTGGCAACTTGTCTCCGTATCATCCCTTCCTCATAACCTTCCAGTGGTTAACCATCAGGTCCTGATGCTTTGCATCCTTTTAGGTTTGAAACGGTCTTCTGAACTTCTAGGAGAGCTGGACGACCAACTTCAACGCCTGGCAGATGTTGTACAACTGAAGAGTTGCTGTGCACCAGTTGGACTGTACTTGAAAGTGTTTTGTCCAACCTTCTAGTTGCCTGTCCTGAGAGATTATCTCGCCCCTATCCTCTTGGTGATGGTTTCACGAATCATTTTCTTCTTTTTGCCAGCCGTTCTAACAAGCCGAAGTAGTTGCTGAGTATTACCCAATGCGGATGCCTTCTCCATCTTTTCCGCTATCACTACGCACCACAACTTGTGATCATTAAGAAGACACTCTGTCAATTTTAAATTAGGCTACTTTCGCTCCTGGTTGTAGATGTGGTCATCTGAGATGAGTCGTCTCGCGTTAATCAGTTTGGATGAGGACGCAGAGATCCATAGACGTTTGCGAACCTTTGACTCGAGGTTTCCACCTGTTTTTTTACCACTGTTTACACAGTGAAGGCAAGGCCTGTTATTCGATTTGGTATAGGCTTGGTGGATTGAAAGTTCTGATACGAATTCGGAAGAATAATTTTAGGTTAGGACAGTTGGTTTCCTGTTTGGATAGCCAGCACTGACAACGATTTTGTTGCATCGGTAGTCAATGATGTTGTGTGATCAATTCCACCTCCAGAGACTAAGGCTCACAAAAAAACTTGGGAGTGAAGTAAACTGCAGCATGGTAGGGAGTCACCTACAATCCAGAGACATCATACATAGTATAGAAATAGTATTCAGAAGATAATAGTTGAACAGGTTAGAGAAATTCGCCTTAGCATTGAAAAAAGCAAATGGAAATTCAACGAGAAAAAAGGCATCAGTTTTGAATAATTTACAAATTGACAGCAGCACAATTACTGTTTATTCCGATAACATAATTCAACAGTAATTTCGGGTGAATAGGATTATTCCAAAATTGACGAACATAAAGAGATCAAGAAATCTATAAACATTGTCATGATAAGACTAGGAAATTTACAGCCGATGTGATATGCCGACTGAAGGCATCTCCTGGCAAGCAAAAATGGTTTAATTTGATGCCTAAAACTTACAATCCTAGCAGAATACACAGTAACATTAAGATTAATAAAACGGGTTCCCGCATTTCAGACCAATGACTGACTTGAGAAATGCTCCAACATTTGAACGATTCAAATATCTAACATACATATTACGTCATATTCCGAACTAATTAATTCCTACGAATTGATAATATGAGCATAGATAATGAAACACTAGGTTATGATGTAAAAGGTTAGTACACTAAGATAACAGTTAATATGGCACCAGAAACGGTCAAAAATCAGCTTAATATTACCATATTAGATTTGTTTATTTGATATAAAGCGCACAATGATACAGTATTATTTAATTGATTACGTTTCGAGCATAAATTATTGCTCATAATCATATCAATGTAATCACACTTCTTTCGACATCTGATTTTATAGTCCTGTCACCTGATCTCTCTTTGTTTTTTTTTGTTTTTTGATTGGTAGTAAAGTTTTCCATATCTCTGGTCGAAAGAAGTGTGATTACATTGATATGATTATGAGCAATAATTTATGCTCGAAACGTAATCAATTAAATAATACTGTATCACTGTGCGCTTTATATCAAATAAACAAATCTAATATGGAACTACATTCTACCACAGTGCCCAAGTTTTTCACTTATATCAGCTTAATATTAACTTGGAAAATACCCACAGAAATAAAGTGAAAGATATACAGCTACGTCTGACCTCGAGTCTACAAATTTCAGGACAAAAATATAGACAAACAAGGAGTGGCAATGGGATCATTAATCTCCCCAATTATGGTATACATATTTAATGGATACTTGGAAAAAAAAGCTTTAAGGACTTTTGGTCCTACTTTGAGGATATGATGGAGATATGTGGACGACACATTTACTGTGATGAAGTCGGGACACACCGATAGTCTCTTCACCCATAAACTGAGTAGCAGGTGCGACCCAGTACACTTACGAATCACAAAGTTAACAAAGGAGATGTTTGCAAACAAACACGAGGAACAGATAGTAAGTTAAGATACTAGTGTTTACAGGAGACCAACATACTTTGAATTGCATCTAGATTTCAGGTCATCGCATCCATTATCAATCAGTTTAGTGAGGTATTTAAATAATTTAGTTAGAAAACTCACTAAAAAAATCAAAGCATCCAAACAAAAAATTGAAAACATTACACCATCGACCAACCATTAACCGAAAGAGTTAAAAAATTTGTAAGAAAAGGTAGGAAATAAATAGTAATAGTGGTATTATGAATAACAGTGGCAACACAAACAGAAAATATATCAAGGCTTCTGTTTCATTACTATACAAAGAAGGAATGACATAAACTTCACATACCATTCTCAACAAGGCTGGAATTAGAGTAGCAATCAAACCCAAAAAACTTATTCAAAGACAAACCTTGTCGGCTTAAGGAATGCGACTAGACAGAACTACAAAAATCAGCTGTTGAAAGTTGTGGTTACTTTGAGATGATCCGGAGCAATAAATTATGCTATTAATGCCATCTCGTAAATTATCCGGTATCACTGTGTGCTATAATAAGGAAATTTAATATGGAATTATATCCTAAATTGAATACGTTTTACACTTATTTGAAGTGAAAGCAAGGAAGTAAGGTTATGGTTAGTTGAGTTTTGCTTGCTGCTAGAAGCATGCAATTGATCGGTAATTCCTAGCAGCGGACACCGTTCAAGTTGTTTCCGTGAGGTAAATGGCATCACACAAAAACTCAAGGGATTTCTCCTTGCAGCGGATAATACACGGCCTTCTTCAAAATTTGGGTTTAAATTTGATTAAAATTCACCTAAGAAACCCATAAGGAGAATACACTGATAAGATACAGGATATTTTGAATGTCATGGGCAAACTGTACTTTAAATATATTTATCCTGAATATTTACGCAGAATGATAAGTCTTTTGATTCCGTTACTACTAATACTACAAGCAAATATTACAATATTTATGAATGCGTTTTGAGACAAAGATGATAATTTAGTCAACGACAGGATAAACCTGTCCTAAGGCAGCTAAGGGATATATTACCTATACGACACTACTGGTCGTTTCTATGCACAACGATAGAAAAAAGTCAAGGCTGACATGATCTAATTAAGTATGATACCATCCATGAAGTCTCTCACTGTTAACGCAACCTATTCAAGATATCAAAACTAACATTTGAAGACTATCGGTGACATACATCAAAATGAACACAAAAACACAGGTGTATTTAAACCTTACAACCTTCAAAATTCCCAGCATTTAACCAATCTTTTCTTATTTGGTCGCTGTTATCATATCATTTGTGTGTACTGTAACAAAATTGTATTTCTGTTTACCTGTCATTTTAGTACTATTAAGAAATAAGTCAAGCTGACCCAATACATTCTTCTATGAAGTACCAAGTTGGGTTGAATAATACTAGAAATCTCAACACAGATGCGAAACTAGATCCTGAAAGTAGGAGACAGTGTGTTAGTTATATATCATTTATGTAGAAAGCAAGTTCAAAAACTGCAGTCGGCATGGATAAGACAATTTCACAATATACTTACAAAGACATACAGATACAATTGACCATAGCTGGCAAAATTGTTTCAGACAATATAAAACAGAACCCAAATGCCACTGGCTTTTATTAAGTATTACTCCACGGGAACGTTTGATAGATTTAAAATGACTTCTCATCACAGACCAACACCAGCAAGAAATTGATTAAAAATAAAGAAGACCTGGACAATTGTGTCATACCGGCTTGGAACTATTCACGAGTTCGGATCAATGACCGAGTAAGAAACCAAACAAGAAACTGTCATGTCTTAGGGTGAGCGTGTTAGCATTCAACTTATAGGTTGGAATCCGGTGATTCACATCTCCAGTTTATGTTAGGAAGTTCCAAACTGTGATGGAACTGTTGTTTAGTTCTAACTTGCTTTTAATATATCCCCCGGGTCGATGTTAATTCGCAATGAATACCTCGTAGGTTTGCTAAAATTTAAGTAACACAACAAAATGTAAAGTGAAATCTGTTCACAACAATAAAAAAAAAATATGAGGATGAATTGTCATTACTGTATACAACAGCAAGAAGTTAATCACTTTTGGTTAGTCCGCAAAGTGCGAAAATCCCTACGATATCTTTCTAGAATACGTCACCAAGCTTAGATAACTACTCTTCATATTTGATGCCGTGGGTGGAAGAGGGTTTCTACGAAGAATCCGATAGATATGAAACTGGTCTAACATAAAAGGTGGTTGAACATGGAAGTAAAATGAAGAAACAAAAATACCATTAAAAAAACACAATGTGAAACTAAAAGAAGTTCAATGGTTACTTAGACAGCGAAATGGGAGAAAAAAACACCAACAAGTATGAAAAAAAGTGTGAATAATTCAATATAATATCTTTGATTTAATATCACCAAAATAATAAATGCGAGAGAGTAATTTGCACTAAATTTCTTCAGCATTACTGCTGATAACAAAATCGCAATGATTAAGACTATAACCAGAAGCATTCCGAATATTTCACAAACCAGTGGAAACTTAATATCCACATACTTGTTAAAATGAAAGTCAGTTGCTTCGGTTCGCACAAACGTAACAATATAACATGCAGCCTTCAGAGTATGGTGTAATTTTTATCGGCCGCATAGATGACCACAATAACTGATTCTTACAAAATGAATGAACCAGACAAAGACTAGATGGACTACTGTACCTAACGATGCGATAACCTCGGTGACGATAACAATGAACCGTTTATTTACTATGTGTGCGCCATGCTGCATAGTGTATTTAGGTATAAAAACCAATGATTAGACAGAGACAGGCAATATAGGACCAGGCAATAATGCTTAACGGTTCACGTTGCCACACCTCACACCAGCACATCAACCAAGAAAGCACTGAAGTGAGAAATGAAGAAATTGAAAAGAAAGCAATCAAAAAGATATAGGAAGTCGTAATAAGATAATGAGAAGGAAGAAGAGAATACTGAATTCAATATGACGATTAGGATGAGGATAATGTGTGCATAAAACTGCTATACTGAAATCGACTCTAAACCACTGGTTTCTGTTATAACACAAACCATAACCAGGAAATATGCATTACCCCACATGACCCAGACAAACATTCAAAATCTGCATGGATTGATGCCATGTTTCAGTCTGACCGTCCCTGACCTTTTCCCAGCGCAAAACTACTGCAGCTAACATTGTGCGACGAAGCAGACAGTGACTAGGCATGTGTAGCACATGTCCCAGTCACCTGAATTCGTGTAGGTTCACAACCTCATCGACAAACTTTTCTTTCCGCTCTGAAACTCTACGCCTGACTTCTGCAAAAATCACATGGTGACACCATTATACTAGGCCTATGCTACGAAGGCAACGGTGGTCGAACACTTGAAGCCTGCCTTTTCATATCCTCTACTTTTATTGGTCATGTTTCACAGCCATGTAGTAGAAGCGAGAGAATTGCAGCGCAGTAACTCAACAATCGGATATTACGGTAGTACCATAAGCGGCGTATGTCTGCGAAATTCAAGCGAGGCGTTTATATTGCGCAGAAGTATTCCCTCTTTGACGTTTTCTTAAGTTGGAACAATCTCACTAACTACTGCCACAGATTTTGGTCAACCTTGAAAAAAAAAATCAACAATAACAAACGAAAAATAAATCAAGAAATTTTCACCAAAATGAAAACGTATACAAACACATAGATTAGTAAATCACTCGTGCATGACGTGTAAAATGACAATTGGGGATGAGTGGGGTAGTGATGATTTTCAAACAGTAGCAAAAACAATCTATCGAGAAATACATTTTATTTGTGTCCGGCTGTAATCGATGGAAAATATGTAATATGAACAGATGCGGATCTAAATGTCAAAGCCTAAAAGATAAGAAATGTCTTTTTTAAAAGCTTCACTATAATTTATTAGTGAGGGTTTCAATAGCTGTATCCATACAATTTAGCCACCGGAGAAGGAGCACGTCGGAAGAATAGAGATGATCCTCTGACAAAAGCATCCTGTAGGTAAAAGAAAAGAAAGAGAGGGAAAAGCTTTAAAATGTGTCGTTAATACGTGTTAAATGTTAATTCAGTTACTCAATCTCAAGAAGCTTTCGGAAACTGTCTGTAGGGTGAAACTGAATAGAAGTAAATGCTTGAATGAAAGTATCTACAAATAAGTAAAAAGTAACAGTTTTACCAGAATGGCATGGATCCATTTCATTTCATGGTTTCTTATCGGCTGACTACAAAGTAAAAGAATCTTAACATCAACTTGTACAGATGCTTGCATTCTTGAATGAATTCGATAGAAAATTATCGGCTTGAAATAACATTGATACGACATAATTGAAGAAACATGAATTGAGTGAATAAGAATATGCAGAACTAATAGTAGCTTCTCAATATATGGAAGGATTGCACGAATACTCTAGAACAGAAGTTGGATAAGAGGGGGAGACAAATATCTTCAATATATCGTGAAGGGAAGCATGAAATATGTGTGAATAAATGTTATAAGTTTTATGTTAGTTAAGTAATAGGATGAGTGGACCTCTCCCTTTTATTCAGCTTCCGCTCTAGAATATTCGTTTAGTCCTTCTGTATATTGGGAAGCTTTCTATTAGTTCTGCATATTCTTATTCACTCAATTCATGTTTCTTCAATTATGTCGTATCAATGTTATTTCAAGCCGATAATTTTCTATCGAATTCATTCAAGAATGCAAGCATCTGTACAAGTTGATGTTAAGATTCTTTTACTTTGTAGTCAGCCGATGAGAAACCATGAAATGAAATGGATTCATACCATTCTGCTAAAACTGTTGTATTCGCTCTGTATAAATTTGTTAAGAAGAACTGTACGAAACGCAGTTGAAGGTTAAGTAGATAAAAACTTAAGCGCGCAATAGGATCATAAAAAAATCCACAAACTGAGCTGGGAAAACCGATCACTGTATGACAGTAATGAAAAAGTTTATCTCCTTCTCTGTACAACTAAGTTTGCAGCAAAAGCGGAAAACTGCAGTAATGTATAACTTGATGTCCCATCAAACTACATGGATGTGAACTAATTATCACTAACATGGTTGTGTATCTAGTTGCGTAATTTGAATGTTGTCTTCTTCAAACTAGGTGGGACTGAAAGTATGATGTTAAGGAGACTCATTCATAGATCTGAACCTTCTGTTACAGACTATCACATAGTAGGTAGAAAAAGCTCATAAGGTTGGACAATACGTGTGGCACTATAAATTCATCCATTTGTAACTACTCAGCTTACGTGTAGTCAAGACCTGGTACTTGAATTCTGGCCAGGAATGACGCTAGGCTAGTTACTGATCATATAGAGAAAAAATTTTCTGGTTCGAGATGATCAAGAAATGTAGTATCACATAAAGAGCATATCAGATTTTATTATTCAACTGGCCTTAGGAACAAACGTAAAATACACTTGGGAGGATTAATATAAGTTCGAAACGTCGGCACTATGGCAAAGTTTAGTTCCATATTCGATTTGGTACAGAAGACAATGATATAGTAGTATTTACTTGGTAACGTTTCGAGCACAATAATATAGAAACAACTTATGAGCAATATTTTGAAATCAAAACACCACAAAGCAAACAAAACTGTATTGCTGTGTACCATATCAAATAAACAGGTCTGACGCGGAATTATATTTTGAAGCACACTGAATATGCTGTGAATTGCAATCCGCTTCATCGTGACGACATTATACAGAATGTGAAGAATAGAAAACAAACAGATCAATGTGGATCGAGAAAAAAGGGCATCGATTCAAATTGCCACAATAATTGATTTCCATCGTCTGCAAGACCCCAACAAGGAAGTCAACAATTCAATACACGAATCAAAGGAACAATCAATGGCATATAAACTGGTTCAATGTGTAAGTCTAGCTAGAAGCTCTTAGCTCCATTCTAACCCAATCCTGCTTTGGTTAACATCAAACATCCAGGTACGAGGTAGATCATTATGTGCAATAAAAGTCTGAGCTACCTTAGTTGGTGGAGACTCTCACTTCATCACCATACTTGTCTTACCAGCTAGTACTTTCACTTAACCTCGACAATACCCGCAAGGTGAATGTAAAACGTGCTAGCAATGCTGCGAAGGTACCTGTGATCGAAAACGCATGATCTCTTCATATCCCTTGTCCTTAGTAATGTCTGACAGCCAAACAGTAAAACCCAGAGAACTGTTGCGTAATATACTACCTGTCTTGTTGTTGACTAGATATCACCAAATACCTAATGAGAAAATGTTCATAATCTTTGGATATATTGTTGTTAGTGATTACCTAACTAGAAAGTATGGTGACAGTGGTATGCTTAATTTAGTCCGTGAGAGTTTACCAATTCTACTGGGAAACTAGCCGTCATCGTCCCAAAGAATAATAAACATTTAACTGTTAAAAATGATAATCTGTAGGGTTGACCAATAATAGCTAGCCTGACGTTGTGGTCGGGCTTGCATACAGCAATGACCCATCGAGCTTTACTGAGTGTGGTACGCCAGGTCTTACAATACCGGAAAGGTTTACTGGATGTTGGCAAAATTAGGAACAGTTATGAGCACAATGTAGTTAGTTACGCCCATGTGAGGGCTACATGGTGAAGTCATACTGATGGCTGGATAAGCCATGACAACTGTAAGGTATTTCCCGGGAATGAATGGCAGGCCATGGTAATGTCATCGAGGTCCATAAAACAACCATTGCTATTCCACTTTCTTTTCAAGGTACTTCAAATAGTAACCTTGGATAATGTTGGCAGTCGAGAAGCGCCAAACACTATCACAACCCTGTCAAGATTCAAGTCCCGTATGATCCCTGTCGACCTTCCATATTGCCTCCTTCTAATCAGTCTTCACATCTACCATAAATATTCCAACATCGCCTTAAATTACTTTCGGTTCTGAAGCCAAGAAAAAGCACATTCCTACGCAT